GAATAAAAGATTACTAAACAAATATTTGCCATATAGAAAAATATTATCTTACCAATCTTCCACTTGTTTATTAAAATTATTGTAATGATTAAGAGTTCCAAGTGTCACAAAAGTTGTTTCACTAAAGCTATCCTTGTTTTTAGATTCACTGTCCTATGAGAGGTTAGAAGACTATATACTTAAAAAAAAGAGTATATACTTAAGATTTTGTATCTCTTAAGGTACTTAGTGTTCCTGTGATCCTGAGGCTTAGACAGAAGGCCTTCTCAATGAGATACATCCCCAGCCTTTTAAAAATGTTTTCTTCTCTTAAAAAAATTTGAAAGGGGTACTAAACTCCTAGGTTGGGCTCAAATTTGTAATCCTCCTGCTTTGGCCTCCAGAGTGCTTAGCTCAAGGCATTGTGTTTTTAAGAATTAAAACGAAAAACTGATAGCTTCTTTAACTGTACCCTTGGGGCGTTTGACTAGGTTGTAGTATTTGTGTGCAAGGTTCACAGCCTTCCTTCCTTGCTGAAAGGGAAAAGACCACAAAATTGAATTCCAGTGATTTCCCATTTTTTTAACTCCATGGAGAAGATAATTTACTTCTTCTTCAGTGAAGTTTTTACGAATTCTTCTTTTTTCTGCAATTAATAAAAGTTGTAGAATACATTAGTACTTGCTAAAAAAAAAAAATGAGTGTTCATGAGACCCAAGTAAGGGCTAACTAGAAGCTGCAAAATAAAATTTCATGCATAAGATACTGAACATATGAAAATCCATTTCAGTTTTAAAAAACCAACATCTACTGTTAATTTAGAAAATAAAACAAAACAAACAAATAAACAAAAACCCCCACACATACAGAACATTTAGGGCTGGGGAGATAGCTCAGTAGAATAACTGCTTGCCTGGCAAGTGCAGGGTCCTGAGTTCAATCCCTGATAACACACACAAAAAAAAAACCCATGCATACTGTTAATTTAGGCACTACAAAATGACTTCAATAGCTGTAACTTAACCTACTATAAGAATACCCTCATTATCTCTCAACCAAGAAACAAAGTTTATAAACATTTCATTGTTAATGTAAGATTCCTGAGGAATTAGCTATCTTACAGATAGCCTTCCAAAGGGCTCCATAACTTCATAAAATGGAATACCAAATTTGTTATTTTAACTATTAGTTTTGATTAATATTTTTAAGAATAAAGACCTTTTAAATTTAAAAAATATGATCACTACCTATATAGGTGCTCAGTTTGATTAAAAATCAAAAAAATAGGTAACATAATGGTGACTTTTTTTTTTATTCTGTGTTTATGCATATGTGCATTCAATTACTTAGAACAGGGCCTTCACTCTGACCTATATAACCAACTCTTTTCTAATTTCTTAAATGAAATAAGGTTTCATTAAGTTGCTAAATTATTCTGGCAGGCTTCAACTTGAGATTTTCCTGCCTCAGCTTTCCAGAGTGCTGGCACTATACACATGTGCCATTATATCCAGGCTGATTCCCTGGTTTTTGAGCTATACTTTCTTAAAAAGAATACACTGTGGGGGCTGGAGAGATGGCTCAGTGGTCTAAAACACCTACTTGGAACAAGCTTGGCAAGGCATCAGGGACCGCGGTTCAATCCCCCAGCACCACATGCCAGCCAGCCCCGCCCCCTGGTGGGCTGAGCTGGCCACACACACACACCACTCACTCTCTCTCTCTCAAATGAATAAAAAAAAAAAAAAGAATACACTGTGGATAAGCAAGTATTTCTGATAATTACTAGGAAATACTGTTAGGCCTAGTTTTTTTTCATTTATTGTTGACTCATAAAATACCTGTAGATAGACAGATGCTGGAGAGTAGTAGTTGTATTTTCACTTGAGGCTTCTATTTACTTTAGGATATAGTTAGGCTTGGTCACCCTCATAAAATCTTGCCCTTGAAAGCCAAGACTATTAGCCATTTGTCCATATTTCTAATATAATAGTCACAGTTTAGAACTTTTAAAATAGAACATAAAAATCTTACCAACACGGGGCTGGTGAGATGGCTCAGTGGTCTAAAGCACCTATTTAGAACAAGCTTAGCAAAGCATCAGGGACCACGGTTCAATCCCCCAGCACCCATGCCAGCCAGCACCGCCCCCTGGTGGGCTGAGCTGGCCACACACACACACACACACACACACACACACACAAATAAAATTTAAAAAAAATCTTACCAACAGAAAGCTGAGAAATCAATGTAAAATAATATCTCATTTTACTTTAACAATATTATTCAAAAGCAAGCTCGATGAGGGCAGACACTTGTATCTAGCTTGATCACTGTATTTCCTGTACTTAAATTAGTATCTCAGACATAGATGATCATAATTAAGAAAAAAATTACAAATTATAGTAATACATACTCCAGTTCATGAAAGCTTCTCTTTTTGAACAATTCAGTTTATGAATAGAAGCATTTGGCAAAATTTTGCTTCTGTTTGCAAACTCTAAACTCTGCATCCAGGAATAAACATGACTGCAGCCATCTTCCCCAGAATCATGAAACAAATTAAGTTCATCAACCAAGGTACCACTGTATTACTGATTAAATTCTTTCAAAATTTATCAGTACTTGATACTTTTGGGGCCACTATAAAACTGTGGCTCTCCAAGAAATAGTTTTTAGCCTCATTTGCTAAATCATTTGAACCTGGTATAATCAGGCGTGGATAGGTTAAAACTTTTGGGATATTGAGGGCCTGGAGCTGTTCATATAAAGCCAATCTTTTCCATTGCAACTGTCATCTCCCTGACTTCTGCACTTAGTATCTGTGCCCTAATCCTCAAAGGCTTCCACATCAGAGTACTGGGCAGCCAGGAAGGAAAAAATGGTTGTGCATACTAAGCCTTAGCTGTTTTAGTGTTAGTAATATTGAATGTGTATTATGGAGAGCAGATAAAAATGGGCAGGAGGGTTCAATCCCAGAAACTCTTACTTTCAAATCCATCAAATCATGATGGTGCATGCCTATAATTCCAGCACTCAGGAGGCTGAGGCAGAAAGACTGCTGTGAATTCAAGGCCAGGCTGGTTTACATAAGTGAGTTGCAGGGCCAATCTACACTACATATCAAGACACTGTATTAGAAAACAACAAAACAAAAAAATCCTCCCAAGCTACCAATTCACCCTGACTGAGAACCCTGAGGAAATCTAAATGTCTAGATACTGCAGTGGTCCAGGACCTACTTATGAGTTTAAGCTATAATAAATAAATAGTGGTAAAATATCCTAATACTAAATGGAAAGGTAGGGCGGAGGATATAGCTCAGCAGCATAAGCACCTGCCTGGCAAGTACATAGTCCCAAATTCAATCCTAGTACTGAAAAAAAAAAAAAAGGTAATTTATGAAGAGGGAAAAACTGGCAAAATACAACATGTTAGAGGTCCATTTAAGAGGTATAAGCAAAGCAAATATGTAACAACTAAAAATATTCTGTATCAATTTACATAGTAAAACCATTTTTAGAACCTCATGAAATGGGCATAATTTATGTATTATATTGTTTCAGTATGCCTTTATAAATTCTAAAAAACAGGCCAAGTTAGTCATTTGGTTTTAGGAAATCTACAAATTAGGTGCATAGTATTTATAAGCTGAATATTAATAGTATTAAGATCACTCATAATCAATGTATAGCTATAATTATGGTCATTAACCATGATTATGCCCATTTCATGGGGCTTTAAAGATAATGTTGCTATGTAAATGGACATACAATATTTTTAGTCGCTATATATTTGCTTTGAGGACATAGTGAAAAAAACCCTTACTAATTTGATTTCAAGTACTTCTCAAGAACAAGACTTCAAAGTGCAGCATGTCTCTATGAAGTGGATTTCTAGTAGCTTCTATAGGAAATAGTACTTGAAAACTGAACTCCTCCATAGTGTTTCTGTATTTAATTTACATGTAAAAATTTTAACCCAGAAAAAGACTCAGATATATAAAGTAAACTGAAATTTTCTTTCAAGTTTTTGGCAGTGAAAATAGTCAAATAAGTATTACATAAGGCAAAATGTTTCTTAGATGTTCCAACTCCATATGTCTCTGTAAGAAATAACACAGTGGTTCTACTGATGTCACTAATCTCTGGGTTACTTGCACACATAATGTATTCAAAAACTTAATCTTAACCTGCAGGTATTAACTCAATGAGGATAGAAGAAAATGATAAATTTCTTTTTTTTTAATTTATTTATTTGTGTGTGTGTGTGTGTGTGTGTGTGTGTGGCCAGCTTAGCCCACCAGGGGGCGGGGCTGGCTGGCATGTGGTGCTGGGGGATTGAACCGCAGTCCCTGTGCTTTGCTAAGCTTGTTCTAAGTAGGTGCTTTAGACCACTGAGCCATCTCACCAGCCCCATTTTTTTTGATAATTTCTTATATATCTTTTTGATAAATTTGGAATGGTAATAAATCTCAAATGTGAACCTTGCAGTAAAACTAAAATTTCCGTAAATTATCTTTTTTAAGAGGCATCATGAATTTTAAGCAGGGTATGTAATTAAGATTTATACTATTTATCCCAGCAAATTTGACTGTGTGAAATGCTAGTTATGAACAAAAGCAAAGTCTCTCTGAGGTGCTTGGACATAGGAGAATAATTTTGTTCTTAAAGGAGAAATGTGACCCAAAGGATAGAACAAGGGTTTCTGGAGAAGGACTCACACTTGAAACTAAGTTCTGCTTTTTACCAACTTTCTACTACAAGATTTAAAGGAAATATCTACAAAACCCCTAACACATAGCAGGTGCTTATTTGTGTTAGTTTTCTCCTGCTCCTTCCCTAGCTGGCAGGCATTGGGTGAGCAAACATGATGAAGGGAAAGGGGTGTCTTTATTTTTAGCAGGGCATAATCCTTATCAGAACAATGGGTTCTTTTTAAGATCCATTAAAATGAGACTGTGAACGACCACTCAGCTGTTCTTTTTCCTTAGGGGTATGAAATTTAAATTTATTTAAAAATTAAGTATATTCACTTATTCCTCCAGGGATAGTAGATTTATTAATGAGTTGTCTTCTACGAGGGGTCAGTAGAATTTCTGAAAAATATGGAAAACATTTAACAATCTGAGTATTAATAGCAATTACATTAGTATGATTTACCCCTCCACCCCATTCTAATAGGAAATCTTTGGTGACATGGAAACAATTTTAAACCACCAGAGATTAAATCTACTTCTAGGAACATTTTAAAACTGGTTGCTTAGAGACAGATTTTCTTTTCACGTTATTTTAACCACTAGTTTTTAATATACTTAATACTGATTGTTCATAAGGTGTAGACATATAGCCTTAAAGTTGCTGAATTAATTACTTTTGCTACAAATAAGTGATTTCCTTAGTTCATTCTTATATCTGTCTTCAGCTTCCACAATGACTTTGTGACGATCACATTGGTATGAGCAAGAGTGCAAGAGCTTGGTAAAATTTCGGCTATTCAGGGTTTTTCCTACTGTTATGCAACCTAAAAGAAAACAAATTAAAATGATGTACAGATTTTACAAAACACCTACTAACAAATCTATGAAAGCAAGTATCTATATGATAGTAACTGAAGTGAAATCAGGAACTTAACTACAAATATTGCACATAATCCAAAGTCATGCAAGAGCGTAAAGACAAATGTAATAAACACTGAAATAAGAGACGTGAACAGCAATGATAGCACAAAAGGAGCATGTAGGGGCTGGGGAGATAGTTTGGCAGTCTAAGTGCATGCCTGGCAAGTGCAAGGACCTGAGTTTGATCCCCAATACCATATGCCATGCCCCAGAACTCCAGTGTGCCTTGCCGGCCCCAAAACCAGGTGTGGCAGCACTCGCCTGTAATCCTAGCACTGGGGAAGCTGAGACAGGAGGATCACTGAGTTAGAACTGTGTAGTGAGACCCTGTATCAAATAATCTTTTTTTTTTTTTTTTTTTTTAAAAAAAAAGAGTATCTAAGTTGGGTGCAATGGTGCACACCTGTAATCTCTGCTGCTCTGGAGACTGAGGCAGGAGGATCTTATGTTCAAAGCCAGCTTGGACAACTTAGTAAGGCCTTGTTTCAAAATTAAAAAGCTGTGACTATAGCTCAGCAATAGAGGGTCCCTGGGTTTAATCCCTAAGCTTCACAAAAAGAAAAATAAAAGGAAAAAGAATCTACCCTGGTTCTTAGCTACTAAGGAAGGCCAACTAAAAGCCAATCATCTTTTATCACTTAAGCATTTTTAATTAGTATATATTTGCAGTACATAATACATTCATCACAGTGAGTTAGTGCATTATATAGTACATCTTAATGCTTTTATGTTTTAAGTATATTTAAACATTTTATTTTGAAGAGAAAAAGACAAAATTTCAAAACAAGGTAATAGAGTAACAATGGTCATTACATTATGTATTGTTATCTTTAAGTTAGTTATTCAGAGTATAAGATATAGGATTTTAATATTTTAATGGAAAATTGTAAACAATAAGAGTAAAGGGCAGAATGTACAAACTCCCATATAGCCATCTCCCAACTTCACTAATTATTAACATACAGCTAATCAAGTTTTGACTACATTGTATATACACTGGAAGGCTTGCATTAAGGTATCAGTATAATCTAATAATCATTGTTCAAGTATCATTCAAAAATTTTTTTATAGTTAGTTGGTTAAATAATGATCCAAAGTCCATCATAACCTGTGGCTGCTGTCTCTTTGGTTTTTATTTTTTGTTTATAGTACTGGTGATTAAGCACAGACTTCAGGGGCTGGTGAGATGGCTCAGTGGTCTAAAGCACCTACTTAGAACAAGCTAAGCCAAGCAAAGCACAGGGACCGCGGTTCAATCCCCCAGCACCACATGCCAGCCAGCCCCGCCCCTGGTGGGCTGAGCTGGCCACACACACACACATACATACACAAATAAATAATTAATTAAAAAAAAACCCCACAGACTTTCATACACACTAACCACATGTTCTACCACTGGGCTCTGACCTTAGTCCTTTTCTCTTCCCTCCTTGATATTTACCTATAAAAGACACTAGGCTCTTGTGTACTATAACCCGGCAATTAGATCTCGGTGAGTGATCAGATTCATGTTCAAGTGTTTTGCTATATGCCTCACAGGTAGTATTACTTGCTTTCCACTGCACCATGTTCAGAGGCACTCTTCTTTTTTTTTTTTTTTTGGTACTGGGAATTCAACTTGCACTTTCCAGGCAGGTGCTGTGCCACTGAGTTCTATCTCCAGGCACTTGTCTTTTTTTTAATGTCAAAACAGATCAGCAGGGTTGGGTAATGTCAGACACAGTATTGGGGACAGCACAATTTCTCCAAATTAGTAGTAAACCTGGACACTGCCACCCTCATGTCCTGCTTCATGATGATCTTCATATAGTTCTTGCTTTTTACCACAATCACTAAAAATTCAACTTTATAAAGATACAGCATTGGGCCTGCTAGGCTGGCCAAACCCCTGGGGCATGCAATTGAGACTGGGTGTGGTATCAAGTGCCTGTAATCCCAGCTCTTGTGAGACTGTAAACAGGCGGATCACTATGAGTCTGATCTAGCAGTGAGACCCTGAACACCCTGTAGACCCTTCCCTAAAAAAAAAAAAAAAAAAAAAAAAAAAGTGAAAATAAAATAAAGACACAGCATCATTGTGCTAGTGCAGTATCACAGGGCTCTAGTTTGGAAAATACAGGACAAGAGGATTGCTTGACCCAGGAGGTTAAGCCTACCCTAGGTGACATACTGTGATTCTATCTCTCAAAAAAAAAAAAGACATGCCATTAAAAGGAATGTGGTACAATCTAATGTTGAAACTATGTACTACTTGAGTTTGCCTGGCATCATTATTATTATATTTCTTTTCTTTAACTTTAAATGCTGTTTAGTATCCTTGTGAATTCGTTGCAAAGCTCTAGAGGGTATAGGTGGACGGACAATTTGGGAATTGTGGCTTTAGATTCATGAAAGAAAAAAGTTCAAAGGAATGGTAGTCAACAATACAGACACAAAGATTCTAAAGTGGGTAAGAGTGGGGTTTTTTTGGTTTTTTGTTTTTTTTTTTTGAGGCAAGGGTGGACTATATACTCCATGCTGGCTCAAACTCAAAATTCTCCTGTGTAGGCTTCCTTGGTGCTAGGCTTATAGGTGTGTACCACCATACCTGGTAAGACTGTTTTTCAATTATTGGTTTTAGAAAGAAAAAAAATAGATAATCGTTAACTTTGCTTTACTTATTTACTTTTTTGAGACAGGGTCTCACTATGTAGTTCAGGTTGGCCTTGAACTCCTGCCTCTGCCTCTGCATGCTGGGATTACAGGCATGTGCCACTGTGCCTAGTAAACCTTTAAGGTTAAACAGAATGGCAAATGAAAAAAAAAAAGCCAGGTTTCGAGAAAGGCACAAGAGAGATATCTGAGATATCTAGCAATAAAATGTGGAATGAAGAGTGAATGAATACTTAATGGATAACAAATTACACAAGGCATTTTGATGGGAGGAGAAAGTTTGAGGTAGGGTCTCGCTATGTAGCTTAAGCTTATATTGTTTTGTTTTTTGTTTTTGTTTTTTGGCTGAACCAGGGATTGAACTCAGGCCCTTGTGCTTGCCAAGGAAGCATTTATTCCACTGAGCCATCTCCCTGGCCCAGCTTAAGCTTATATTGAATTCACTATGTAGCCCAAGCTGGCTTCAAACTCACAGTGATCCACTTAATTTATCTTCCTGAGTGCTGGGATTACAGGCATGCCTAGCTGGATTTTTTTCTTTTTTTTAAGATAAAGAAAAATAAGTATAGTTTAAGGTGGGGCAAAAGGAGCTAATGGATAGGAAGAGACAAATGGAAAAGATTTTGCTATTATCATAGTGGGCAGAAGAGGTGGGATTCATATTAGGACTAGACATCAGCTTTAGAATATAGATAAATATTTATATCCAAAATGAAAGAACAGTTTCCTGTATCATGGCTCCAAAATGTGTGCTCTGAGCACAATGCTGAGTGGCCCTCTGCTCAACAGACCACCTTCTGTGACTTCCTCTGGCTGCAGGCTGTGTGGGAAGGACTCTGAGAGACCCTAATGCCATGAAATGCTGATGCTGGTGACTCACAACTAAACCAGCACCTTGAACTCAGATGATGCAGGAGAAACATAAGGGAGACTATTCAAAATGGCAGAGCAGTGAATACCAGCAGTTCAGCTTCTCCAGGACAAAGCGTCTAGAGTCTGAAAAACAATAGCTTAGAGAGGAATCAAAGTAAGTGGAAGTTACCCAGGAACCATGAGGGAAGTGACAGAGGAGAAGAAAATAGGATTAAGACATATAGAAGAAATAGGTCACACTGCAGAAGACAGACCATGCAGCACTGTGACAGTGACTGGCTAGCCACCAGTCAAAGCTAAGTGAAACTAACATTTCTGTTGGTGGATAACCAGAGACTGAAAGACTCATTGGCAATTGGAACCAGCAAGGAAAACGAGAGACAATGCTTCCAGAGCAGCCTTCCATAGTCAACAGTTGGTGTGTGACCTTGGTAGAAAAAATGGAAGCCACAGTTGCAGAGAAAGAGCTGGAATAGGGAAGGGCTGAGTGCTTGAGCCTGGGTCCCAGAGCATCCCCTTAGCTGATTCACTCTGCCAAGTTCCCAGAGAGCACAAGGGAGACAGTCAGTCACAGGAGACTGCTGGCAGCTAGAGGGCAGACTGGGGGGAGTCAGGCTGAGAGGTAGGGGCTGGGGAACATAGACATGGCTCCTGCAGTCAGCATCCAGTGGGTTACAAAAGAACTTTAAGAAGAAATTTAAAAAATTCTGTAAGTTAATAGCAATGATGGTACAACCTGTCAAAATGTATGGGACAGCATAAAAGCAGTTATAAGAGGAGAATTCACTGCAGTCAATGCTCACATTAGGAAAGGCAAAGAGACACGAGAAAAATCTATAAGGAATTTTAATATATTTGAGAAACAACAACAAACAAGCCTCAAACTGAAGTTAAGGAGAGAAATTAAAAAGACAAGAGCAGAAATCAATGAAATTGAGACTAAAAAAACAGTAAAAAAAAAAAAAATCAAATTGGAGAACTGTTTCTTTGAAATAAAAAATAAAATACATAAGCTCCTAGCCAGACTTACAAAGAGTGAGAAAAGATTCACATCAATGCAACTAGAAATTAAAAAGGTGCTGGGCATGGTGAAATATGCTTATAATCCCAGCTATCGTGAGGCTGAGGCAGGAGGACTCCTGTGCATTTGAGGCCAGCTGGGTCTAAAAAGTGAGTTGCATGCCTGACTGAAATACATTATAAGACCCTGCCTCAAAGGACCAAAAAAAAAAAAAAAAAAAAAAAAAAAAAAAGTGCAATAACAACAAATAATGTGGAAATACAAAGGATTGTAACATTTCTAAAATTATATTCCAATAAATTAGCATATTTTGAAGAAACGGACAGATTCCTAGACACACATAAATTACCAAAACTAACCTAAAAAGGCATAAGTATGCTTAACAGTCCAATAATAAGCACTGAAACTGACATAGCAATAAAAAACCTACCAACTAAAAAAAAACGCAGGCCTTGATGGATTCACTGCTGACTTTTACAAACACTTTTTTTTTTTTTAACAAAAACCTGAAGGATGTTAAATCACCAATACTTCTCAAGCTCTTCAAAGAAAGTGAAAGGTATGGAGTATTCCTAAACTCATTTATGGTAACCAGTATCACCCTGACCCTGAAACAAGATTAAAAACCCAAATAAAAAAGAATACTATAGGCCAACCTCCTTAATGAATATAGATGCAAAAATCCTTAACGAGGTATTAGCAAACAGATTGCAGTGCATTATCAAAAAGATAATACAATATGATCAAGTAGGTTTCATCCCAGAGATGTAAGAATGGTTCAAATACACAAATCAATAAATGTATCAACTAGGGAGATGGCTCAGTGGAATAAGCACTTCCCTGGCAAGTGCAAGGGCCTGAGTTCGAGCCCTGGTTCCACCAAAAAAAAAAAAAAAAAAAAAGGCAACATCAAAAAAATGTAATACATCACATAAAGAGAAGCAAGGTCAAAAACAGTATGATCATATCAGTAGATGCATAAAAGGCTTTTGAAAAAATCCAACACCTCTTCATGCTAAAAATCCTGAAGAAAATAGGTATGTAAGAACCATACCTGAATATGATACAAGTTATTACAACAAATTAATAGCAGCATCTTACTAAATTGAGAAAAACTAAAAGGATTTCCCCTAAAATCAGAAACAACTCAGGACGCCCACTATTATTTCTTCTATTCAGCATAGTACTTAAAACATTAGCCAGAGTAATTGGGCAAGAGAAGGAAATACAATGGATACATATAAGAAAAGAACACAAACTATCATTATTTGCAGATGACAAGATACTCTACATAGAAAATCTAAAGAACTCTACCAAGACCCTTAGAATTAGTAACAAACTTCAGCAATATAGCAGGACACAAGACAGATCAACATATAAAAATCATTAGCATTTGTGTATGCCAACAATGAATGTGATGAGGTTATGAAAATACTACCATTTCAAGAAAAATGAAATTTCTCTACCAAGAAAACTACAGTACTCTGAATAAAGAGATTAAAGAGGACATCAGGAAATACAAAGTTGTCCTTTGCTCCTGGAATCAATAAAAAAAAAAAGATAGGCCATGTATAGGAACCTCAACTAATGTAAATCTTATATGCCATAACATGTGTAGTGGTTGATATATTGTGTCAACTTGAAAAGTTAAAAGCTTAACTAAAACTGGTTAACAATTTCAAACCCTAGAGTGTGGAGGCCACTTCCTAGGGCATGGAGGACCCACCCTAGGGTGACTCAGCATTTAAAAGATATAAAAGGGAACTGAGGAAGGATAGAGCATGCCACTTCCTCAGAAGAGCTCTAGTCATCACAGTCAGGATGAAAGGAAGGGAGAGAGGCTTGCTAAAAGCTGCAGCTGCTGGTTGTCCCTTTGCTTTGCTGTTTTCCACCACCATAAACTTCTGCCCTCTGCCATGTGCCAGGCTGCCTTGGAGCCAGCAAAATATAGACTAAAACCTCCGCTAATTTTGAGCCGAATAAACTTTTCCTTCCTTCATTTTTAGTGCCAGATATTTTATTCCAGCAGCAACAACAAAAAAAAAGGTAACTAAGACAATATGTTAATAATATCAACAAGAATGAATAATGGGACAGGGGAATTGGAGGGAAGGGAAGGGATGAGGTTAAAAAAACTGTGATATGTACATGTAATCATTCCCAAGATGACTGTAAACTATATAAACTGAAAACATATAATAATGAAATGAAAAATTCAAAACAAAAATGGAAGAATAAGGCTGGGGAGAAAGCTCAGCAGTCTAAGCACCTGCCAAGCAAGCATAAGGACCTGGGTCTGATCCCCAGGACTTCAAGCATGCTGGCCCCAGAACCCCAGGCATGGTGTGCCAGCCACTGAAACTGCGTGTGGTGGCACACACTTGTCATCCCAGTGCTGGAAAGCTGAGACATGAGGATCACTATGAGTCTGAGCTGTGAAGCAAGACCTGTACTAAATAAATAAATAAAAGATTAAAAATAGTATTAAAAAAGGAAGAATAGTGGTATTCTTCTCTATTTTATTTTAAATTTTTATTTGGTTTTGGCAGAACTGGGGGATTCACCCCAAGGTCTTTGCACTGATCCATATCCCTAGCCTTTAATTTTTTTTTAAATTTGAGTCAAGGGTCTCAGTAAGTTGCTTTAAGTTACACAGACTGGGCCAGAAATTATGATTCTTCTGCGTCAGCCTCCCAGAAAGCTGGGAATATGGCATATGCCACTAGGTCTTGATAAGAATAGTAGTCTGAGTTGAACATGTAGCTTCTTTAATTTTCTCAGTGGAGTGCAATGGTAAGCACGAGCCAGCTGGGTATGGGGCATGTGTGTGCCTGCAATCCTGGCACTCAGGAGGGTGAGACAGTAAGAGTCCTGTTCCAGTTCAGCCTCAGCTTCATAGAGTTCAAGGCCCACCTAGGCAACACAACAGGACCCAGTCTTACAAAGCCAGAAAAGGAAACAAAAAATAGTAAGCATGAACAATGAAGAAACACTGAGTTGTAAAAGAAGAAATGAGGTGGAGTAATTACCATAGAACATTACAAGTATAAAGTACTATAAGTAGTCATAGGGCAAGGAGCACTAGAAACATTATAAAGATAAAAATAGGTATTAATACTTCATGCCTATGTTTGGAGCATAATCCAAATTCCATATTTATTTGATCTCTAAAAACATAAAAGATGTTTATTTTGCTCAGGAAAGTCAAACTTATAAATAGTACTAATGTGACAAAATGGCAATAATAAAGTGATAAATGGGTATTAACTGTATTATGTAAACAAATGTTGGGAGCTAGATATATTACAGATAGACGATAATTAATTTTAATGTTTTTATGCTCCAGATTGTCATTTTTCCAAAGAAAGTAAAGTTTAAGTGACAAAGGTAGAACTACTGTCAATTCTAGTAAAAAGGATTAAAATGTGTTCTATATGTGAACCAACTCCCCATGATGAATGCAATCATGTACTAATGAAAATAAAAATTAAAAAATAAATACTAGCTAAATATAGAGCTTTAACTATAAAACAATTACAATTAAAAATTTTACCTGAGCACCTATAGTTCAACATTTTGGAGCAATTGTTAGTTGACTGAAAATTGACAACTTCTTTATTTATTATGTCCAAACACAATGTAAATGGATCTGGAAAAAATTGCAAAATTCAAGATCTTTGATTAATGACAAAAGTCCTGACATTGACAAGATATATATATATTTTTTTTTTTGGTGGAACCAGGGATTGAACTCAGAACCATGCACTTGCCTGGGAAGCGCTTATTCCACTGAGCCATTTCCCTGGCCCCTGACAAGATATATTAAAACATCAAGATTTTCATAAATTATAGCTCAGTACTGCACATCTGCTCATTTTGGTAGGTAAACACTGAAATTCTGGGTATCAGTAAAAATGGCTAGAGGCATTTACACCAGGAAGAGTCAAAGGTGTGGCTTACACCACAGAAGGCAGCTATATCAATGTACATTTTTAGTTGTATCAGTCACCTAAATACCTATTTTCTCTCTCTTTTTTTTTTTTTTTGCGGAACCGGGGATTGAACTCTTATGCTACTGAGCTATCTCCCCGGCCGCTAAATACCTATTTTCTTGAAAACAAAACAAAAAAAATATTGAATCATACCTATTTCTGTTGACTGCTGCTTTTTATTCTTGACAATATGAGCTGGATGTTTAAAAGTACAGTCACTAAAAGACAAAACCAAACCACAATTTAAAAAGACAGAAAATTACTAAAAGTAAAGATAACTGTTCAGGACTAGGCAGGGTGGTATATGCTTGTAATTCCAACTACTTGGGAAGCTGAAGTAAAAGGATATCAAGTTTGAAGATAGCCCAGGAAACTTAGCAAGGCTGTATCCCAAAATAAAAATAAAGAGTGGGAACGTAGATCAGTGGTAAAGTACTTGCCTAGCTTGTGTGAAGCCTTAGGTTTAATCTCCAGTATTGGGAAAAAACCTCACAAATGTGTGCATATAACTGTGTATATAAGCTGTGTGATTCTGGGTGTTTGGTAGGCAGAGCCTGGAATCAGGCTCTCCCAAAATTCACTGCAATTGTTTGGGTGTTGACTTTCCCTCAAAAGTCCATGTGTATGGGGCTGGTGAGCTGGCTCAGTGGTCTAAAGCACCTACTTAGAACAAGCTTAACAAAGCACAGGGACTGCAGTTCAATCCCCCAGCACCACATGCCAGCCAGCCCCGCCCCCTGGTGGGCTGAGCTGGCCACACACACACACACACACACACAAAATTTTAAATTAAAAAAAAAAAAAAGTCCATGCGTAAAGAGGTTTTGTCCTTCAGTTGGCACTGTAGAGAGGGTCTGTGGACTTTTAGGTGGACCTTACAGGAGGTCCTTAGGTTACTGGGTATGTGCCATTGCAGTAAGTGGTATGCTCATACCATAACATACTGCTGTTGTCAGAGGCCCAAAAGCAATGGGCACCTTATTCCCCCTACCACTTTATTGCCTCAAATATTTTGCTATAAAGACATAAAGATGATTAATATAGCAAATTCTGTCAAAGTAGGATCTGCAACAGCTGAAGCCTTGTTTCTAGAAATGGAGTTATGTAACGCTCCAGGAGAGAATAGTAATGATACTCACAGAAAAGGAAGAAAAATATAAAAAGAGGAAAAAAAAGAAAAAAAAAAGAAGCCAGGGAGATAGATCAGTGGCATAAGTGCCTGCCTGGCAAGCACAAGGTCCTGATTTTTTTTTTTTAAACCCTCAGTTAGAAAAAAAAAAAAAAAATAGAAAAAAAAAAGGAGGTAGAAATGAAGGCAAAAAAGAACAAAATCAGTGGGAGAAAAAATAAAACATATGGGGCAGGATCACAAAGTAATAAGATAAGTAGGGTGTGGGGTACACCTGCAATCCCAGCCCTCTGGGCAGCTGAGGCAAGGGAAGATTGCAAGTTTGAGCCAACCCTGGGCAATTTAACAATTTAGCAAGATACTGCTTCAAAACAAAAAGAGCTGGAGATACAGTGCAGTGTGAGGGCCTTGGTTTCATTCTCTAATACTACGAGAAGAATCCATCCTGAGCCAGGCAATAGTAATGCACACAGACCTGCAGTCTCAGGAATTAGGAGACTGAGGCAGGAGAATGGCTTGAGACCATAAGTTTAATACTAGTCTATGCAACACAGGAAGACACCATCTCAAAAAATAAAACCTTGACTGTCAAAATATTTTTTATGTGTAATGACACAAAAAGAAATCCTTAATGAATAAGTATAAGCTTTGATTACTATCAATAACAGGTAATACAGGAAAAAGCAAGAGCTATAGACTAGAAAATAGACACAGAAATGGCTATCACTATAGATATGTCTACATACATATATTTGTAGAAGGTACTGCATCAGAGGAAAAAGCATTTAAAAATGTAAATATTAACAACTTAGTAGATATGAAAAAGACTAAAAACATGGTTGAGGTAGTATATTAGTCAGATTTTCTGTTGCTGGGTCAAAATACTCAACTTTCACAACTTAAAAAGAGATGAGGTTTTATTTGGTTTTATTCCGTTTCAGAGATTCAGTCAATGGTCTGCTAGCTAGCTCCAAGAAGTATCATGACAGAAGTGTGAAGGAGGAAAGCTGTTTAACTCATGATGTACAGAAAACACAGCAGAATACAATGCCAAATTCAGAAGGATCCAGAACAGATATAGTCTCCAAAGTTAGCTTCCATCACTTACCCAGACACACCTAGAAGTACGTGTTAGTAAGACCCTAGGTGGCTCCAAAGCCAATTAATTTGACAAGCTTAACTGTCATAGGTAAAGGTATGGCCAACTCTAAAGGAAGAGGAAAGTACAGATGGAAGGCTTGAATCAGAGGGGAAGAGGGATAGACCAAAAGTATTCCTCACTGCTGTATACAATTCCTTAAGAAATCAAGTTAAAATATCCATTAAGAATGGCCTTGAGGGGCTGGGGAGATGGCTCAGTGGAATAAGTGCTTCCCTGGCAAGCGCAAGGACCTGAGTTCAATCCCTGGTTCTGAAAAAAAAAAAAAAAAAAAAAAAAAGAATAAAAAGAATGGACTTGAGGGCCGAGGAGATAACTCAGTGGAATAAATGCTAAGCACAAGTCCTTAGTTCAATCCCTGACACCACAAAAAAAAAACAAAAAACAAAAACAAACAAACAAAAAAAAAAAACAGAATGGTCTTGAAAAGGAAAAAGGGGGTAGTTATGTTGTGATCAGTGTTCCTGATACTTAGTCAACCCTGAAACTACCCAGAACATAATCTCCCCTTGATTTTTCTTACGTATAACAACTATCAGAAGAGAATAACACAAGAAAGAATAAGAAAAGCTAACTCCCAGGTACAGGCTTATAGCCACTTATAAAGCAGAAAGTACATGTACTGGAAACAAAGTACAGGAAACAAATAGGGAATTCTAAACTAGATTTTTACCACAGCCTACCCGTATCATATTAAATGTATAAACCGGTCTTTGACATCATGCTGATTCATTACCAATGCTTGCAGTTAAAAGATTTCACTTAGGTTTTCTCTTTTGAGTATACTTTCTAAAATTCAGATCTTATTATGTCCTTCTACTTAAAATCCTCAATAGCTCCCCTTACTCTGTGGGTTAAAACCAAAAATCCTGAGTAGGATATGCTAGGTCCATGATGAACATGCCCATAGCTACTAATCCACATTCTTTTGCAGATATTTTCTACTTTAGGCTACTCCCAAAAACGTGTTTCATCATTTTATATCCTCAGTGGTTAACAGTGTCACACACAGTAGTATACAGTGCTTGCTAAGTAAATAAATGTACAAGTATTAAACTACACCTTGATTGAGAAACAAAATTCTTTTTGTTAAAAGTCCTTTCTTCAAGTAGGTTTTGATTGCAGCTTGAGGTGGCTTTATGCAAAGTTTTATTTTGTCCACTATCCATATAGCTTGCAGTCACTGGATTTGTATTCTCTAACAGCATCTTTGGCTGGTCATCACTAGCACAAGCCTCAGAAGTGACTCCATGGGACTTATAGCTCTGAAGTTGTCTAGGCTGGCTTTTAACCTTATCTTCTTCTTCTGTAGTACCACCAACATCATCTGCATGGAGATGTTTCACTGTATCCTGAATGTTTATTTTCATAGATGAACTATTCTTATATTTTCCTCTTTGTTTATTTTCCTGTAAGTAAAAGTCACAAATTATTTAAATATAGTTCATCTCAATCCACTTTACATTTTTTGTGTGTCATTTTGAGACAGGGTCTTACTATGTACTTCAGGCTGGCCTTGTACTGGCCAGCCCAGGCTAGCCTCAAATGGCAATCCTCTTGCCTGAGTGCTGGGATTACAGGCATGCACTATCATGCCCAGCAGATTTTTAAAAAATAAAGTACAAAAAATTTACGACTATCAATAGAACATATATAATAAAAAGGGCACTTTACATTAGGAATAAAAAGGAAGTTTATTCAATAAATAATGTTTGGACAATTGGGGAGCCATCTGAGAAAACAACCTACGCATCTCATAGATTTGGTGAATAAGACCAAAGTGAACAAAGTATTTAATTTTTAAAATATATATAGCCTAAAAGGAATCAAACATTCTCAAGAGGTGGAAAATCTTTCTAAATATTACATAAAATCAATAAATCATAAAAGACGAAAACTAAATACTTAATCACATAAAAATTTTTTTGGATTAGGTGTAGTGGGACACAATCTGTAATCCAAGTAACTCAGGAAACAGGGTGGCTAGCTTGGGCAACTTAGCAAGACTGTGTCTTAAAATAAAAATAAAGGGAGGGGGACTGGGGAGATGGCTCAGTAGAATAAGCACTTGCCTGGCAAGCACATGGGCCCAAGTTCAATACCCAGTTCTGCCAAAAATAAAAAATAAAAAATAAAAATAAAAATAAAGGGATATGGCTGAAAAGTGCTTGCCTCACATGTGTAAAGCTCTAGATTCAATCCTTACTGCATGTGCACACATGTGCCCACATGCACAATTTCAAAAGCTGTCTTAGAGACCAAGACAGACAGATTTAGAGGAGAAAAAAAGAGAAAAGCAAAACCAATGGCAAGCAAAACATCATTAAGTATGGGGCTGGGGAGATGGCTCAGTGGAATAAGTGCTTCCCTGGCAAGCACAAGGGCCTGAGTTCAATCCCCGGTTCTGCAAAAAAGGAAAAAATAAAAAAGTGAGTTTCTAGGTAAAGATGAATTAAACAGCCAGGTGTGCTGACAAATGCCTGTAACTGCAGCACTCAGAGGCTGAGGCAGGAGGATAATTGTGAGTTTGAGGCAAGCCTGTGATACACAGTGAGTTTAAGGCTTGTATGAATTACAAAGTGAGACCCTGCCTCAAAAAAAACCCCCACAAAGACAGACATATAAATAACATAATCTATAAAAACAAGGAACAGTGGAAGATGAAATATAGGTAACAAGACTTTCAAAACTAGAAAGCAAAGAGTTGAGTAATCTAGTTAGATCTGGTAAAGCTGATCCAACTCTGGTAGTGGGGAAATCCAAGAAACTAGCTAAAAATACTGTTTTTGTATTTTTAAGGGAAAGGTCTACAGGGTGTTCAGGGTCTCACTACTAGATCGGACTACTAGTGATTCTCCTGTGTACAGCCTCCCAAGGGGCAGGCCCCCTTAGCTCAGCTCTTTAAATGCCTGCTTCAACAAAGCAGTCAGGCTCAGGTTGCTGTGGTTGGATCCCCAGCACTCAAGCCAGCCAAACCTGCCCTGAAGGCATTCGGAGAAAAAAAAAAAAAAAAAAATCCTTCAGCCTCCCAAGTGTTGGGATTACAAGCGCGCGCCACCATGCCCAGTCTCAACTGCTGTCTCAGTGCACCCTGGGGGTGGGGGGAATGGGCCGGCATGGCAGGCCTGGGGATCAAACCCTCGGTCCCTGAGCCTGCTTACAGGTGTTTTAATCCACTGAGCTATTTGGCCAGCCCTAAAAATACTGTTAACACTCAAAAAGTTTATGAATTGGTGTTACCAAGAAACTATAGAACAGTGGTGGGAAACCTATGGCACACTTCTTATTGTGCTTTTAAGACAAAATACGTTACTATAAAGTTGTTTCTTCTAAACTAAAACCTCAGTATTTAGGTTTAATAGTAGTGTTGGCACATTGTGGTAAATAAGTGGGTTTGGGGTTGTGATTTGGTACTTGGTCTCTAAAAAGTTCATCATCATTGTTCTAGAAGGCGGGGTGAAAGTATAGGTAAAAACAAGACTGGGAGTCTTAGAAGCAGCTAAAATACTAGATTCCAATCTCTACCTAAACATACTCAGTAAGCAGTTAAATGGTATCAGAGATTCCTCCCTCTTCTGCTGCCTTCCGAAGGCTGGAGAGGCTAACACAATCTCTGCCCTGGAAGACTCCATGCAAAGATGGCAGACTGCTATACAAGAAACAAAGACTGAAGGTGGGTGTGGTAATGCAGGTCTGCAATTCCTGGCCTTGGGAGGCTGAGAGGAGCCTCCAAGTTTATAACCAGTTAGTGAGAAATATAAGTGGCTGATGATTAATACGACTAAAATTAGGGCAGTGTTGTAACACTGAGCCCTAACCTGCGAGGTTCTGTACTAACTTCAGGAGTTCATTTTAGAACTTAGTTATTGAACATCTTGGCGGTAACAATGAACAGGCAGTTAGTTCGGAAAAATTCCACATACCTGATACAGCATGGATGAACCTTAAAGACATTATGCTAAATAAAATAAGCTATAGTGAAAGGAAAAATTATGCCACCACTTATAGGAAGTACCTAAAATATCAAATTTGTAGAGACAGAAAGTGGAAGAGCAATTAACAGATTAAGGGAAAGGGGTGATAAGAAATCAGACGCAAATGCGAGCTTTTTTTTTTCCCCCCAAACCGGGGATTGAACTCAGGCCCCTGAGCTTGCCAGGCAAGTGCTTATTCCACTGAGCCATCTTCCTTGGCCCCTAAAAGAACCTGGACTTTTTCTTTTTTTTTTTTTTTTGAACCAGCGATTGAACTCAGGCCCTTGCGCTTGCCAGGGAAGCGCTTATTCCACTGAGCCATCTCCCCAGCCCCTGGGAAATCAATGTGTAGTGGGTACAGAGATTTGGTTTGGAATGTTGAAAAAGTTCTGGTGACTCTTAAAACACACTGTAAATATCTCTCAATACTGAATTGTATTTTCAAATATGGCTAAGTGCTCAATTTTATGTTTTTTAACCAATTTTTTTTTTTTTTTTTTTTTAAGGTGTGTACCGTTTTATTTATTAAAAAGGCAGTCCTCCCCACTCCTGCTGTGCTCATAACCACTTCTTCCGTGGCTTTAGGGCCTGAATAACATCACACTTCTTGCAGAATTCCAGACAACTGAAAACCCACAGACTTCACATGGAGGGACTTGAGACCAGCAACAGCAGAACAGCACCACGAAATGGAAAGAAATCTCGGGTCACTGGCTCAGGAGTGTGGCTCGCCTGCGGCTGTGGCAATGTTTGCGTTCCTTTCACCTTCGATTTCAGAGACAAGCTGGACTATTTCGGGATGACTGAATTTCCCTGCGGTGGAGTCGAAGAAGTCCTGCAGCCTACCCGGCCGGCACTCCAGGTCTTCGTACTCGGACGCCTGCAGGATCATCTCACACTGGTCCAACTGCTTCACGAACTTGGCTTCTGCACTGGACTGGGTCTCGTACTCCTCCCACAGTTCATACAGCTCCTTGCTGAGGTCCTCTGGCAGGAGCTGGGTCATCTGTCTCATGGCTTCCTCTTCTCGCCTATGCTTTTCTTCTTTGGGAACATTATCGGCGGGCGCTATGTCCCCAACGATGCACTCTGCCATGTCGTGAACCAGGGCCAGGCGAATACACCGGTCTCTGTTAAGCTGGGCATCTCTGGTCACCATGGCCATCAGCGCCATGCGGTACATGTGATCCGACACACTCTCTGGATTCTCCACATTTCGGTACACCCAGCCAGTCCGAGGGACTCTCTTGAGCCGCCCCAGCAGCCGTAGAAACTGCAGCAGCGGGCGCGGGCCGCCGGGCGCGGTGGACGCCATGGCCCGGCCGAGCACGTGACGGGGCGGGGCCTTTTTAACCAATTTTTAAAAAAAGGAATGAAGTTCTGATACTTATCACATGGATAAATATTAAAACATCATGCTAAGTGAAGAAAGTCAAATCCAAAAGCTACTTTTTTTTTTTTTTTTTCCAACCTTGAGGACTGAGGGGAAAAGCAGGCTGGAAAAGTCCCCACAGCCTCTCAAGATGATTAATGAGGGGCCAGGGAGATGGCTCAGTGGAATAAGTGCTTACCTGGCAAGCGCAAGGCCCTGAGTTCAATTTCCGGTCCCGCAAAAAAAAAAAAAAAAAAAAAAAAAAAAAAGATGATCAATGACTTGCACATTGGGCCGAAGAGGCCTGCGGGAAGGGCACAGGGCACCCTGTCAGGGGGACAGCTCCCTTGTGAACCCAGGAAGATGGGTAAATCTGCAAGGACAGCCACACACTACCAGGAAGACTGGCAAAACCGAATGGGGGCAAAACTTCCAAAGCCGTGGTGGAAGCTCTCAAAGGATGACTCCAGACTAAGGACAAGCTGTAGCCACTGGAGGGAGACAGATGAAGCTGCAACTTCCGTGCTCTCACAACAGCTGCTGAAGATCCCAAGAATGCTGGTCTAGCCAGGAGCTTGCCAACCTCCCCCTCCAGAGATGTTCACAAGAACAGCGATCATCGTAATAGGATCATCTTTTCATCTTCATCAACTTTAGACTTGAGGCAAAATGGTCTGTGCCATCTGAAAAAGGTGTTTATAATCCCCAGCCTTCAACAACTGCATCTTCAGAGAAATGCCCTCTGTGTGATTTCTAAAGATTT